CTGTTCCAGGCACACATGGCCAGATCAACAGAACTGAAAGTGTTCCTTGGGAAGGTGGGTTCAAGAACTTGTCATTAAATGACTGTATAACTCTGGAAAAATAATTTAATTTCTCAGGGCTTAGTTACCTTGTCTATAACACAGGTTGAGGCACTAGGATTAAGATATTCCTAGCCTGGCAGAACAGTGGAATAACCTTGGTAAATTTCAAAAAAACTTAGGTTTCCCAGGTTCTTTCCTATACTAATGAATGAGATTCTGTAAGTGAGTCTTAGTTGTGGAAATTTGTGATGGTCTCATGGGTTATTCTGAGCCTCCAAGTTGATAACCACTACATCCAATCTCTCAAGAGTATTTGACAGCTAAAGAAAGGTCTGTGATAGATTCCTATTCTGCCTTTGATGTAGGACAGATTGATAGCATCCCTGAGCAGAGATATGGCTCCCACATGACCTGTGATATTTTATTAATGGATCTTTTCCTTCCACCTGTATCCTACCAAAACTCCCGCAGACTGTCTTGGATGGTGTGCAGAGTGCCTTGGTATTTTGAAGACCCAAGGGCCTTATCTTGGGTTGCCTTGAAGGGAAAAGTTAACATTGCATTATACTTTTAAAAATTAATAAAAATTAATCTGCCTCTAGAGTTTTTTGACCACTTTATTAAAAATCATTTTAACTTTTAGGTATGCTTTTCAGAAGTAGAGGACTAAAGGCACATTAGAGATAGTTGGCCTGACCCTCTGCAGTCCTGGAGAATAATGAGCCATGCTCTGCCTGTGCAGACTGGCATCCCTGCAGAGGCAGGGGCTGCCTAATTTCCCTCTGTCCCTACTGCACACTGGTTTGGTCATGAGGGTGGAAGGTAATGAAGGCCCAGGTCTTGGCCTGGTGTGGACAAGTCCACTGTCTTTTTCTAGACAAGAGAATCAGAATAGTTCAAGGGCAAGTTGTCTAAGGGGACAAAATGTTCATTTGTCACTGGATGAAAACCTGGGACTTCCCCATTTGTAAAAATTCAGGAGTAATAAAAGGAAACCTAGTCTCCATTTGGCTGATCGGGCTAAGAAAGAAGGTGGTCATTCTGAGTCCACTCAGGCCAGCTGTAACCTCAGAGCCAGGGTCATGGGCGTGTGACCAGTAGTCACACTGCTCAAAAGGGCAGTGCAGGGGCTTCACTGCTTGGGAGTCTGCTCTTTTGTCTTGAAATGCTTAATAGTTTTATCCTTGAATTGTATTTGACAAGTGAAGTCTGATGGGACAGTGGAGCACGTACAGAGGGTGGGAACCTTTGTCCTCAAATGGTCCCTGGTCTCACGTCCTTGATGCCTTCCCGAGCTGGAGCTGTGAAGAACAGCATGTCAAGGCAAGGATGTAAAGTAGCCATCTCTGCCTGGGGCCTGCAGTGTCACAGTGTGTGTTGTGGGCACTGGTGGGAAGGCCACCCACCTTAGATACTCAACGTGAGGTGAAAAACTTTGGGGTCTGATAATTGGGGCTGCCAGCCTTGAGAGGGAGTACTGGTTTCTCCTCTGTTGAGGGCCCCACGGTGGCTGTGGTTGACCTCGCCTCACCTAATCATCACCAGATAGCTTGGGGTTCTATAGAGCAGGTGGGTTTGCGAAGGGCTGTCACAACCACGAGTGTATGCGCCCCTCCCCCACTTGGAGAAGAGAAAAAGATCTGCCACTCAGTGTCCGTGTTAATGTCATAATATACACAGAATACATATTTCCTATGTGACGTGGGACAAATTACTTAAGTTTCCTGTACCTCAGTATGTTATTCTATCATAAAAGAAAGGTACTACTGTCATAAACAGTGCTCGCTTCAGCAGCACATATACTACTGTCATAAACATAAAATAACATAGGCATAACTTGGCACAGTGCAGGGACATAGTGGATGTTAAATATATTTTACTTGGCTTTACTATTATGTTTTCCATGTGCAACAGATCCTGAAAGCAGCGGCCAAAGTATTTTGATTAATACTTTAGAAGACACACTTTTGAATGCACTCATTTGAAGTTTCAGTTGAGTTCTTAGGGTCACTTAAGTTCCCAAGAAATTATTAGGAGTGGAAAAGCAGCTCTGGTAGGGGAAAATTCTACAATGGGAAGAGATCTTGGCTATATCCATCACACTAGCACACCCACAGCAGCTGCTTAATGGTTGAAGTGTACATGGAGTAAGGTAGCAAGGTCACTAAAACACACTTTCTATTTTGCTGCAATGGTAAATGCAGGGGCTGATGACTGAATGTAGATGTTGCTTATATAATGTGGGCACTCACAGACTGCACATCTCTAGTTAGCGATGGCTGCTCATAGCACCTGCCTCCTGCTAGTGACAATTTAATCCTTGAGACAACTCTATGGAGCACTAATTACTTTCCTCATTTACAGATGAGGAAACTGAGGCACTCGGAGGCTAAATAAACTAGACAGAGCCAGGTTATATATAAAATGCAATGAGACTGAAGATTCTAAGACCAACTAATAGGTTACAGAGTCAGAACTTCTGGAATGATGTGAAAGTATGAACTGAAAAAATATAATTTAAATATAATGTAAATAATTTAAATATAGTTTAATTTATTTAAAATAGCACAAGGATATGTCTACATGAGTGTCCTTCAAAATATTAGTCAAAATGTTTTTGCAGTTTCTTTCAGAGCCTGGGATAAATAGTGATGAAGACACCAACAATAATAACAGCTAAATTAGCTTTACATCCATTGGTGTGCCTGGCACTCTACCAATGTTTTACATAGGCCATCTCGTGTCATGTTTATGACAGCAGTACCAATAATCTACACAACAGAAGAGATTACTGAGGGGAAGGAAATTTAGTAACTTTCTCTCCACATCACACAGCATTTATGTGATGGTTCTGGGATAAGCTTGGACTGTCTGACAGTGCACAATTAAACTAATACTCCATTCTTTTAGATATTTTTAATGGTGGAAATCTTTACCTTCAGAGAATATATTGGGCCTTTAAAAACTGGCAGAAGTTATTTTTGATTAAGCTCTAAGTTTTATGGATCTTGGATAACTGAGATTAGTCTTCTGTCAAAACTATCCTTTGGTGAATATATAAATTGCTTTTCCCTAGGGATTTATAAATTATCTAAGGGCAGTCTCCATAAGACAGAGAAACGCATGTTTGGACCATGGCAACCTGTGGTATCTAGAGTCTCTCAACCTGTGGGCTTAGGAAGGACACTCTTACTTACAAGTGAATGCATGCCCCATTGTGACACTGAATATTAACAGTGGAAACAATGGGCAGATGCCGACCACATGCTTACTGGGCTAGAAGCACATGTCTGCAGGTAGCATTTAGTACCTTTGAAAGCGGAGGTTGTCCCACTCCATTGTCATCATTACTCTGACACTTCTTCACTTACAGGACTTTCCTTACAAGGATGCCTTGCATGGCTTTTCAAATGTGTTTCCTGGAGATCCATACTGTCTGTGGTTCAATCCCCTACTGTGAACAAGACCTGCGCTGAGCTGGGGGCACTTAATGGTCTTGTGTATGCAAGTACCGCCCTTAAGTGGATGAGGAAATTCATAATCTCCATTTCCTTTAGTTCATATTGGACAAGACTAACCTATTCTTCATTTTCCCAAGCCTTTCTTGAGGTTATAAGTAGCCAAGTAACTATTTTCTTTCCAGTGTATAGCTCACGCTTGGTTTTAATTTAATCTATAGCTCAAAATTAATTTTTGTAGGGAAGATCTGTGAGCTCAGTTGGCCATTCTTGGTAAAGAAATTACTGCAGTAGGGCAAGAGGGAAGATAAGAACAGAAAGGGAAGAGAAAGAAAAGAAGGAGAGAGAGGTGGCTTCATTGCACATTTGGAAACTATAACTGGTAGGAGGTGACTGCCCTTGAATTCTGAAAATACGTCTCTCAGCAGAATTTCCTCCCCAAACTTAGAACACTCTAGGGTGTGCTCAGAAAATCCACCTCCCACTGCTCTGCCCTCACTCAGCCAACTCTCTGTGAACAGTTGGAAGCAAGTTGCTTGTACTAGACCATTTCTAGAAGTTTCAGAACACATGGTATTCTCCTTACAAAATCAGCCAGCCACGCAGATAGTGAACTATGATGAGAGCTGAAATTTGAAAGTGACAGCTTTTAGAAGTAAACTTTATGTGTTTTCTAAAACCTTTTTAAAATAATGCTTCTCGTATGCAACTTTTCTATTGTGAACATTATTGAACACTGGAAATACTTGGGAAAAAAGGACTCTGTGGATGGCAAGATCTCTGTTGGAATGAGGAAGGAAAAGGCTTCCACCTTGAATGAGGAGAAAGGCTTATTACTAATTGAACAAAACAGAAACCTGAAGGAAACACATTTTTCACCAAGGGGGTAGGGGGTGGTGTTTAGAAAAAGTCTAAATGGATAAGACAGAAAATAACATAATACACAGTGGGTAACTAGAGAAAATAAGCCAGACAAAGCAAGACAAATACCACATATTCTTTCATACGAAGCTTAAAAAATTGACCTGAGTGTAGTGATTAACAGAGGTTAAGGAGCATGTGTGTGGTAGGGAGGTGGGTAAAGGGAGATTGGATTTTAGCAGTGCACAATGTGTGTGTGTGTGTGTGTGTGTGTGTGAATATCACATTAAACCCCTTTCATATATGCAATTAATACACATTAATCAAGAATAAAAATAATAAAAGAGAAAGCTATTTGTTCCATTATTAGTAATAACAGTTACTATCGCTTCTCGGCTAAGATCAAGTGTAGTAATAACAGTTACTGAACCCGATTTCATACTTATTAGTTTAAAAATCCTAGGCCAAATGTTGGCTTTCCTCAACTTCATAGAGTAAGAGGTAAGAAAAATAGGGGCACTATAATTAGAACAGGTCACCCCACCAGGAAGTGGCCCAAAGTCTAAATCCCAGCTCTTTGCTACTCCTCGGCAGGATGTAAGATAGCACTGGAAAGGGACCGATTGCCTCTCTAATTACCATGGCTTTGTTGGAATGGCCGCCTCCTTGGAACTCAATGGTCCCAAAAGCATCTGTTGGGCTGAGCTGAGTGTGTTTGCTGATGGACCACTTCTCAGACTGGATGTCATTTCGGGAGAGACGACTTTCATTTTTCTCATTCTGAAGCACAGAGATACTGGGAGTGAGTCCGACATGCTGGCCTATCAGACGCCCACAGCAACACCTACAACATAAGAGGTTACAGTGAACGCCTTGGAATACACACACACAAGGCAACCTGTGACAGAACTCTCAGTCCACATTGTCTCACTTCAGTCAGGGATGAGGTGAAATCTCATAATGTGGCTGCATCAGGCAAGTGATGAGCTTTATATAGTACATACATCTTCTTTTCTCTTGTCCCCATCTTCTGTTCACTGTATAAGCTACAACGTGCCTCCCGCCCCTCCTCATCCACAGGCTTGACACCTAGCATATTGTTTAGGAGAGGGCACCTGTGAGCAGAAGTTCTTGAGATTTTTCTGCTTCTCACTTCTCCCATTTACCAATTCTTGCCTGAAGGACACTAAAGAGCTTTGAGGGAAGGATTTTAACATGCACATTTAAATGAGAAATTTCACTTATATGTGAGTCACAATCTAACTTGTTTCTCCCCAGTTGACATGCGCTGTCAAATATCCAATTCTGAAAATAAAAATTTGCAGGCTCAATTGTTCTTGAAGAAATAATAAAAAAAATGCACAAGATATTTGAAATTTGAAAATTTGTTCCTTCTCTCATGAAAACATCTACATACATCATTACCACTATAATCACAATTATTAGGAATAATAGTTATAGCACATAGCTGCTGTTTATGGAACACTAATAATTTAACATCCATTTTGTAATGAAGCATTGTAGTTTTGAAGGTTGGATAATTTGTCCAAGGTTATATAGCTAGTCTCTGTGACTATATAATCCATATTTTAACTGCAGTGTTAAATTCCCTATTCATAAAGGCATTTCCAGACATAAATGTGCTATGATGTATGATTGACAAATACAGTGAATTTTAAAATTAAAATTATTACAGTAAATGACACATTGCCCTTAATCCACATCAAAATACTCCCCCTTACTTTGAATATACTTATGTCATTATTCTTGCCACTTTCTGGAGCAGCTCTGGAAATCCTCTTTCATGTCTTTGGTTGATTGTTGTGGTGGCCTTGATGTCCTAAATCAATATTTGCCTTTCATGGTCATTTTGACAGAAACAGGCTGAAGTCTCACAGTGCCAGATTTGGTGAATAAGGTAAATAAGGACATGCTGTAATGTTTTTACAAGTCTGTCTTTCTACCAGACGGCACTTGGCAGTAGCCTTCACCATATATACGATCATATCTTATTATATACATGAAAGAAGACTTCCAGAAATGGTGTAAAAAGTGGCAAGAATGATAGGATAAGTGTGTTCAAAGTGAGAGGGAGTATTTTGACAGGAATTAATGGCAATGTGTCTTTTAGAGTAATAAAAATTTTAAATTGAAATACTCACCATATATTTTAACTACCTCTTGTATTTTAACCCAAATGCTTCCAACCTTGAACGCTATTGATCTTTAGAAGGTAAGTCGGCACTAAAAATGTGCTGAGAAACCCAAGCGTGGTGGTAATCCCTATCATCCCAGCACTCTAGGAGACCGAGGCAGGAAGATCACAGGTTCAAGCCCAGCCTGAGCAGTTTAGCAAGATGTTCTCTAAGGCTAGGGATAGAGCTCAGTGCAAAGATCACTGGGCCTTGCAGTCAATCTCCAGTATCACCAAAAAAAGAAAAATACAGAGCAATATGAAATTCTCTGTACAGTAATCTGCCAAGAGTCTTTTATTTAAAAATACTAGAGTAGAGCACATATTTAGAAGGAAAAACCAGTTATCATTACAAAAAAGTGTAGCCAAATGTTATATACAGAGATTAGTTTCTTCTGCAATGGTATAGACTTTTACAGACTTTTAGCTAAGAATTAACTGTAGCCATGCGACTTAATGTAATAGAGATATGTGAATGATTGCTTCAGAGCCAGGTGGGGTGGCACATGCCTGTAATCCCAGCTACTCGGAGGCTGAGGCAGGGGATCATAAATTTAATTTGAGTCAACCTAAGCAACTTAGCAGTTGCTCAAAATAGCTGCTGTCTCAAAATAGAAAAATAAGAAGGATTAGTGATATAGGCCAGTACTCCCTGGGTTCATTCTCCAGTGTCATAAAAAAAGAGTTGCATCAAAAATGTCCAACAATAAAAACAGTCCCACACAATGGGTAGTGACTGCTATTATTGTCTGTCCTTGTAATTATGACTTCACATCTTGATACATTACAAACAGCAAGATTACCTATGGGGGTCTTTGGTGCTGGGTATGATGTGAACACATTCTCTTTTATAAAATGCTCTTTCTATCCAGGATTTCTGAGCCTGAAAGAGAAAGAGAGAGAGAGAGAGAGAGAGAGAGAGAGAGAGAAAGAGAAGATTAATATAACCTTTAAATAGTTTTAACTAGAAAGTGAAATTTCATAATCACATAATAGAGTAGTTTATCATGAGCTAAAATGAAATTATGGTTATTTCATACATAAAGATTGTATATAATAAAACCAATGATTTCTAGAATCTACTAATTAGGTTAACATTATAATATTGAAAATTAAACGAAATAGCCATGCTGAAAAAACATTAGTGGTTGTACCATATACAAATACATAATGACTTTTAAAGAACAGAAAGACAATGCTATTTGCAGAGAAAATGAATCTGGAAGGTTAGAACATTGTATTTGTAACTTGACAGAAAAAATTATCCAGTTGTAGGCAGAGATTCACCTAAATAAGCATAACGTTTTCATGGCTAATGCCACATAGATTTTCCTTTATGAAGAAAAGAACAATAGGCAACTTGCATAACTATAAGCCCTAATCTATCATCATGCTTTTTCTAAAGTCCAAATTAGCAATGCTTAACTACAAAGGAGGAAAAAAATGGAAACATGAGGAAGATAAATATCTTCACCATAGTCCCAAATTTTACAGATGATGCCTTGCGAAGGTAGATACACATTTTCTTTCCTTGCGTCCCATACGCCTTTCAGCACACAGCGAATAACAGCTTCTTAGAATGGGCATTGCTATGGCTGTCCATCCAGAAGTCCTGCTGCCAGGACTGGGTTTCCAGATGGATAAAGGATGTTAGGTAAACTATAGAAACTGTAGGATCTTTGTTCCAAAATAGGCCAGCATTTGAAATAGTAGAGAAATTTCCCATGAACTCCAGTAAGCTGCTCAGAAGTTTCCCTCCCTAAGCACTGAAGATGGAAATCGCTAGAACAACACATAATGTTATTTTTATATGTCATCATCTTCCAGCCTCAGTTCTAAGCTCCTACTCTTAAAATATATGGGGTTGGACCACAACGAGCTGTTTCCTTGGCTTGTCTCAGTCTCCACTGTTAACTCTTAACTAGGTCCCATTTGTGGGTTGTAATTAGTTCTGACTTTGCCAGCAACCCCAATGTCTATAGAAGATGTGCTGAGTTTGGTTTGGCCTCCAACCTTGATCTTATCCAATGGGAGTCTATGCAAGTATGTGGCACCGACAGCAGAAGGTCTTTAATACTTGGGACAATGCACATTTTACAAGCAGCAACCTGAAGGATAATTGAGGGCTACCGAGGAGTTGTATTCTATTCCAGGGATGATCACAACTGGGTCACATGCTGCTGGGTGCTCAGGTGCCGTCTGCATGCAAAGGATACCATGTTGCCTCAGATCTGCAGGTCCTGGTGGACCTCTGCACTCTCAGCCACAAAGGTGCTACCTGCAGTTATGTCTGTTAGGTGGACATGAAAAGAAGTCTATTCTCAAAGATGTTTCTTCTTAAACATGTAGGGGAAGCTAGTGGTGCCATCTTTGCAAGAGAAACGAGCTTAGAGGCAAAGATAACCAATCTTTATCTTTGTAAAAAGCCTGTCATGTTAAGCTCTTCACATGCCGTGGATTTCCCCAGTCACTGAATACGTTGACTGATAATATCTGCTGGCAGAGAGATGGAAAATGTTCCTGACTGGAATTTTAAGGCCTGCTTTCCCTATACCTCTGGGAGCAGAAAAGAAGAATTTACACTTTGTTTTTGCTTCTTGTGGCCCATTTTGGCCAGACTTCAGAAGGATCTTTTGGGGAACATATGGGAATTTCAGGGACCACTGATCAATTCCCCTTGAGGGGAAGTCAGCAAAACAGTATTGTGGGTCCCGATGTGAGGGGAACAGTGAGAAAAAGTAGGGCTCTGCAATATGGAGAAAGTCATGTGAGTCCTTTGATACTCAGTTTTCCTCCTCTATAAAATGGGCATGCGGTAATGCCTGACACACAATGTTGTCATCCTTACTTTTTGGGTACCATGCTTTCACTTCAGAAAAATGGACTAATCCTGGTTTGATTCCAGTACTCAGAGTACAGATGAATGTTCAGATGAGTAAACTATGAAATTCCATTAGCAATGACCTAGAGTGATGTCCGTCCCCTGGTGCTGAGGATCATAGAGTATGTGACTGACCACTAGTAAGCTATAACTTATTTAATTTCTCTGAACCTCTTTTATAATGGAGGGACCATCATAGCTACTTGGGAGAGTTCTGTAAAAAGCAAACCAGATAACTGAGACAAACTACCTGGCACATAGTAGGAGCTCCATGGGTAAAAACAAAGACTGACATTTATTAAGGGCTTACGACGTCTGTGGCACTGTGCCATGTATGCCCTGTCTCCACAGACCCTTGAAGAACTCTGTGAGGGAGGTACTTCCATTATAACCATTTTACCCATCAAGAAGCTGAGGCAGTGATATGTAGCCAGTGAGTTTTAAAGCCAGGGTTTGAATTTAAGCAGCCTGAATCCAGAGTTCACACTCTTACCCACGCAGCCAAACTGCTTGTCTAAATGAGAGGTCACTGATATAAAATAATCTCGCTTGGTGATGTGAGCGGTGTTATCTGAGCATGCCTGGGGAGGCCCTGGGCTGAGGACGGAGCGAGGCTTATAGAGGCCGTGCGGGAAGCCATCCACACTCGAACCTTCTGCATTTTCGTTTCCTCTCCCAGCCTCACATGCAGAGTAATGAACACTCAGCCCTATTCTTCCTCTCTTCTCAGTTAAATGGTGAAGGCAAGGCATTTGGAAGACTTGGGAGTATTAGAAAGTAAAAGAAGGGGTGAGGTTATTATCACAGCTACAGGAAAGAAATGAAATCACAATGGGACCCCTAACCTGTGAATCTGGGGGACCATGACAGGTGGATTAGACTGTCCAAGGACACCTTCATCATTTCTTTCTCTCATGGGTCCTATTTTCAATTTGGAGAGTCCTGGAAGCTTTAGTAAAATGATGTGGTAAGAATTACTACATATGGATTGCCAACTTGGTTTTCAATATAAAATAAATAGACTTGACTGGAGTTTAATGACTTAATTACCTTCCCAAAGGTACAAAACTACTTCATTGTTAGTAAAAGGATTGAGGGTTAGTTTCTATTTTTTACTATTTGCAAATTAATCATTTCTCTTGCCAAGTCACAGATAATTAGAAGGGAAAGAAAAGAAAAATGAAGGTAAAAGATCTTCTCATTATTCAGAATTGAATTGGATTCTTTGTCTTTTGAGAAGTATAATATATCAGAGAAGAAATTAATGTATAGCACATAAATTAAGAATTCTATAAAATATCTACATAATTTGCTATGTTATCTTGTGGGTTTTGCTTTATTGTGATCTTATTCAGGTCTTTAGTGTGTATCAATATTAAATTTAAAAAATTATTTTCTTGGACAGGGCATATTTGATGTATAATCATGGTTTAATTTGTTCCCTAAACTAACTCCTTTTTCTATTGTTCAAAAGCTTTGAACTACTCTGCATGAAGCTTTATATTTTGCTTCAAAATCCAGCTAACTTAGCACAGAATGATTATCCTTGTTGTTACAAAGCATGAAATAATTTTGACATGGTGTATTTCTAGCTGACCTTTAATTATCTTCTAACATAAAACTTCAGTGGATGGTTTGTCCAAATCTCTTTTCTTTTTAAATATGCTTTGGAATTCCCATGTACTTTTAGAAAAAGAAAGTCTCTATCATTCTTTAAAAAATCACTTTCGCACATTCTTTTGTGAAGGTAGAATGGTCACATAACCATGGCTGAGTCTGTGAAGGGCTATTTTCTTTCTTGTCTTTCTGCATCATCAGCCATGTGTGATGTGTAACAGGAAAGTGTTTTTCAAAAGCTAATAATTAAAGGACAACTTATTCAAAACAAAATCGAGGATATCCACATTTTGAACAAAGTATAAAGAACAAAGCAAGTACAAATTTTGAAAATTAAAAGAATCCGAATAATAGACACCAAAAATCCTGTAAACACTGCCTTAAAAAATAAGGCATTTCATTTAAGCAAATTTCATTTCTTTTTCACCAAGACTCTGCCACCCAACATTAGACCCCAAACTCCTTCAAATCTCCTTCCCTGGCACTTCTCACCGGTTCAGAATCAACACCTATTCCAGGAAGCAAAGGGTTATGAGGATCTACATAGAGGATGTATTAAACCCCTCTTGAAAAAGCCTTGGAAAGTACTACTGTAATCCACTTTTAAGCAGAGCAATTTAACAAAAGGAAAATCTCCAGGACCATTAATTACAAGATTAAAAAAACACACTGTATGAACTTTATAAAAATAAATTACAAGGCAAAATTCACCTCCTTCTCATTTCCCTCTTTGAAGTGAATACCCTGTCTCCATTAGAGCAGAATACCAAGAGCAAAAGGGGCTTAACGCATATATTCATTTTCATCTTTTGCTTTCTCTCAACATCCCTCTGGGCATTCCTTTGGTCTTCCTCTAGATCCCCAGATCCAACATCAAGAAGTCAAACAAGAGAAAAGTTAGCTGACATCACTTTACCTGTGCGCTGACTCTGGCTGGTGGCAAAGGCAGTCGCCAGAGCTGCTCCTGTTGCTTTCATTTTGCTGTGGCCGGGACTGGCCATCCCGTTAATAATGGTCTTATGACCGCCCACTGGAAAAAAAGTTACTTGCCCGGCTCTTCCCCCAAGAGACGTTTCAAGTAAGCAATGAACTTGGGCAGATTAGTCCCTTGGAATGTGCCGCTGCTTCGGGATTAGCCTCCCTAAGAATCCCATGGACATTCCCCCTCGGTCCTCAAACACTGCTTGATTTGAACATCTAATCTGATGCCAGAAGAAAAACAAATCCCCGGAGAGATCGGATTTAACTGGCACAAGTCCTAACAGGCTGCCCCCCTTCTTTTCCCATTTCCAGAGAGAGAGCTTGTGAAAGTGTGAGAAGGTGTTCTGAGTTCTGAAAGTTCAACTTTGGAAAGCAAATCCTTCTAAAGAAACAGTGCATGAATG